AGCGTCCTCCAGACTGGCAAAAGTCCACAGCTCAGACAGCTTTTCTCTTCACCTTCTCTGTTTATTCCCCAGCCACCGGAGCAGTCCTCTGTGCAGTCCCTGGCTAGCAGGGCTGATTTTTAGGTTAATTCTTAAGTCCTACCAGCACTCAGGAATCTCCAAGCTGTCTGTGCTGTCAGGATCACTGCCAGACTGCAGCTCCATATGTCTCCTTTTTTGTATTTTCATGCAAATTCTTCTGCTAGTTGGGGTTTAGTACTTCTGTATCCTTTCCTTCAAGGCTCAGGGGTCCAGGATTATCTTCTATGTCTGTGTTAATCGGTTTCCCTTTTCTTTGTTGAAGAGGGTCTGTGCAGTCTTTCTGCCTAGTCCTCCATCATGCCAGAACTCCTGCCTCACTTTTCTTCTGCGGAGTGGCTGGTGGATTTGAGCCACTTGACCTTTTGGCTAGCAATTTGGTTAGCAGCCAAATGCCTGAACCCGTGCTCTACCAGAATGCCTTATTCTGAACTAAGACATTTAAAATATTTATATACATTATACTGTTAATTTAGTCTTGAATGTTTGTGTTGGTTTTGTGCTTAATTACATAATTTTTAATTCTTAAAAATACACCCTTATTGTTCTTTCTAAAATGTATATGACATAGTTGGAAAATTTTTCTGTTTTAATGAAGTGAAACTAAGAACAAAGAACCCTGACTTCTGAGTATTAACTGTCAAAAAAAGAAAATAAAAGTCCCAGGGTGGTACAACGGTTTGCCCTCAACTGGTAACCAACAGGTTACTGAATTAATAATTCAGACTCACCCAAAAGCACTGCAGAAACACAGGTCTGACAGTCTGTTTCCATAAAGATGACCAAAAAACTCCCCCCAAAATACCCAAACCCACAGTCATCAGGTTGATTCAGACTCATGGTGATACTATAGCGTAGAGTAGGATTGCCCCATAGGGTGTCCAAGGATGTAATCTTCATGGAAAAAGATTACCACTTCTTTCTCCTATGGAGCGTCTGGTGGGTTTGAACCACCAACCTTTTGGTTAGCAGCTGAATGTTTAACCACTATGCCACCAGGACTCCTTTCCATAAAGATTATAGCCAAGAAAATATTTTATGGTAGTTTTTCTCTGTAACATGTGGCATCTTTTGAGTCACAAACCAGTAACAGAAACAAAATCAACAACAAAGGACAGCAAATAGATGAAAACTCAAGACTTACTGGACCTCTAATATCCTAGGATTTTTGCTTCCTTTAGGAAAAAAAAAAAAAAATTGTCATTTGACTGCTAACCAGAAGATTGGTGGTGCAAACCCACCAGCCACTCCTCGGAAGGATGGGCAATCTACTTCCATAGTGATACTGCCTCGGAAACCCAACGAGGGGTGACTATGAGTTGGATCCGACTTGATGGCAGTTTGTTGTGGTGGTGTTGTTAGTTCATAATGACTAAGATAAACTTACTGCTTTTATTTTATACAGACAAGGTCTTTACTGGGTGTATTTGAAGAAGATGCCGCAGCTATTTCCAACTATATGAACCAATTGTATCAAGCTATGCATCGAATTTATGATGCACAGGTAAAAACTTAAAGCCTAACTCCATGCTTTTTAAAAAATGATTCTGTAAGTCTCATGAGGACAGAGTTAGTATCTGTCTTGTTTACTGGCACCTAGCCCTACACTGGGCTTATAGTAATAAATACTTGTTGAATGGATAAATGAACATTAAGTATTTTGTATTGCAAACTCATATTTCAGTTACTAGTATATAGTTTGTAGCATTGCAAAAGTGATAAAGATTGAAGCATTATCGCTTCCCCCCAAACACAGTAAGGGCTTTCTTACTTAAACTCACTAACAGTGGTCATACTTTACTTAAGATTTTACTGAAACCTTAATATTATCATCAGTATTTTCCCTCATCATGTTTTTAAGCCCGCATTTTCCCTTCATGAGTAGAAGATTTGAACGTAGTCTGCTTTTATCTAGTTGTAACAGGGTAATGAAAATTAGATGTTGTAGTTTGGAATAGGGAGGAAATGAATTGAAGGAGGTTATGAGTAGATTTTTTTGTTGTTGTTGAACAAGCATAAGATTTGAGGCCATGTTTATGCAACCTAATTATAAGCCTTAAGAGCAATGCTATATTTTCTTTGGGGTTAAGTGTAGAAGTTTCATTTTTTTTCCCTCTTTTTCTCTTCTTTCTAGATTTACATTTTCATTAGATACTTGAAAGTTGTTATGATATTTGTTTATTTTTCTCTTTGTGCTAGGTCTGTCAAGATTTGATTTTTGAGAACAGATAATATATTTAAAAATGGTGTTTTTCTCGTTATATCCATCACTGAAAAAAAAAAAAACTTTAAAAAAGTATCTCCTTTATATGCCACCATTTTAGTTGTTAAATGTTTATCATGGTCTATTGTCAGCTTCCAGAGAGGATAGCTAGTCATCAATATAGAGTAGCTTAAGATTTTGCTAAAGTTATATACAGTTTATCTCTGACTTTAAAAATATGTACTGTTTAGGTTTTATTAGCCAAAAAACAATACAAGACAAAAAAGTCCTAGAACACAGCTAAATTATTTGAGCATTTCCCCTTGGTTTGAATTTCCCATTAGCGTGCTTTAATGGTATTTTCCTTTCCAGTGTTTAATGAGGGGTTTAGAAAACATGTTGTACAGTATTTGTGTGAAGTGATAATAAACAAAAGTGATCTAGTCATCTTCAGGAGTCCTTGGGTGGTGCAAACAGTTATTGTGCTTGGCTCCACCAGAAAGGTTGGAGGTTTACATCTACCTAAAGGCATCTTGGAAGAAAGGCCTGGTGATCTATTTCTGAAAAACCAGACTTTGAAAACCCTATGGCACACAGTTCTACTCTGACAAACAGAGACTTATGAGTTGGCATTGACTTTTTCTTAATCTTAAGAATTAAGAGTTAATTAATCTTGATCTTAATTGTTGCCTAATTTGATTGCCAATCTTTTCTTCGTAGAATGAACTAAGTGCAGCAACACACCTGACTTCAAAACTTCTAAAAGAATATGAAAAACAGGTACTGTATATGGAAACTTTAAAAGCCTCTTTTAAAAAATGCAGTGATACAGTATCTCTGTAGGTAAACAGGATTTTCTTATCAGGAATCCTTAAACTTTCCTGGATTTACAGTGGATAACTTTGATATACCACTAAAATTTCACCATAGCTCTTATTTTGAGATCATTTTAGACCCAGATATTATCTGATTTATCTCTTCTCTTTTTACAAATGCAGGAACTGAGCCTTGCTCAAAGTTATGCAGCTGGTTATCAGAGGAATGGAGCTAAACACTGTACCTTTTAACTCCTAGTATTGTGTGCATTTCAATATACCATGTTAATTGGTTACTTAGCAAACATTTAAATTAATGTTTATTAATTCTATGAATTATATTATTTTAGTAAAATGACATTTTTTAGGGCTTATTCAGAATTTTAGAGGTGTTCTGAAGTTATTTAAAATGTGAAGTGTAAGATGTCTGCCATTCACAAAAAAAAAAAAAAAAAAAA